GTGCTTCAAGGTGAAATGATACTGTCTGAGTCCTTGGAGTCAATGAAGTTGAGGTACTTCTGTAAAAGCCTCTCGCAACCCCGCTCTTATTGCTTCTCTCCATCTGCCTTCAATCCTCTGTTGTTTTTGCTAGCTCCATAGTCTCCTTCAACCCCCTCGGCCTCAGCAATTGAAGGTACGCTCGTATGTTGGGCTTGACGCCCTTCATGAAAATTTTCTCCAATACTGCCTCTGAAATTCCCCTCAACCTCCCTGACAACAACTCAAACCTCTCCCTGTACTCCATGACAGTCCCCTCCTGTGTCAAGGAAAGGAATTGCTCATGTAGGTCTCATTCCTGAATGGCTCAAAAACATTCAAACAAGCAATCCTTAAACTCCACCCATGAACGGATCGACTATCTAGCCTCTCTCCACTGGAACCAAGCGAGAGTTTTCCCCTCCAGACATTACCCTTCGGTTGTAAGCTTCTCCTCCTCTCTTAACTCATTCACCGCCAAATACCTCTCCACCCGGTAACCCACCAATGGGCATCCTCCCCTTCAAACACCATCATCTTCAACTTCCTCGCCTTCACTTCAACTTTCTCTCCCATAGATAGTTCCCCCCTCGTATCAAGGGTGGCAATCCCACATTTCTTCCATCAGCCTCCTATGACCTGGTCGCTATGGCTCAGCTCGTCCACCGGCCTCTTAATTGTCCACTCCCCTTGTCCAAACGGCCTACCATAGTGGTCAGTCGTCCTACCACCTGCTCCATAAATCCCACCATAGAACTCTCTTCCTGCTATCCTTTCATCCAGAAACCCTGATCCACCCTTTCTCAGAGCCCCTAGGGGTGGTTCTATATGGAAGAAACTCGCCTCGTCGAACTCCTCCCGTTCAATCTCTTTTCCCTTCAATTTAGCCAAGGGAACCCCGGTCAAATCATGTTGAGGGTTAGCAATCAGAAGAGTTGATAGGGCATTGGATTGCGTCTCCATGAGCTTCTTTATCATCTCTTCCATCCCTCCCAATCAGCTCTCCATCCAATTTTTCCGAGTTGAAAATCTTTCCTTCATCCTGGATTTGATTTACTCAACTTCTCCTTCCAATGCATCAACCTTCTTTGCTTCCATTCATGGATTTAAGTTTTAAATCACAAAACAACAAAAATCAGCTATTATGGTCTTCAAACAGCAAAAATTAGCAATATGGAGGAAGTACGCAGCAGAAATCAGCGAAGAGAATTGCAATTTTGGTCCAGGACACCGCTGTAATACCAATTTCATGCACCTTGGTATCAAAAATATCAACAAATTCCAAGAGATTCAACACAAGAACAGATTTTTATTGATAAAAATCAAATACGAATAAAGCAAGATGCAATGGTCCTCTTTCAAGAGGAGAACCTTCTCTCCCAAACCCTAGACGCGCTAGGATCCCTTATAAAAAGAAAACTACATAACTCTCAAATCAAATTCTGCATACAAACATAACATAAATCATACTACTTATAGCAAACAATAAAACAACAAATTCTTAAACAACCCTCCCCCAATTTCCTCTCAAATCAACCCACAAATCAGCCCTCTCCAAATTTATCTCCTCCAATTCAGCCTCCAAATCTACCCTCTTAAATTAGGAAACATCTCCTAATTAATCTCCTTCAAATCAGCCCCAAATCTATCCTTTTTAATTAGGAAACATCTACTAATTAATCCATTCCTTAATTTCTCTTCTCACATATGTAATGATATTTTTAATGGGCCCCACAAGGGGGGCCGAATTGCCCTTTCTCGTATCACGTGCTTCGCCTGAAGCGGGTTTTGAAAGAGTAGCTCAATGAAGCTTCTTTGCCTCTTTCGATGACGACGTTACTATCAAATTGAAAGTGAAGGTAACGATCTTTCTTCGCTTTCACATGCTTCTTCGGTTAAATTACATTAAAGTAAAATGGAGAAAAAATAGGATTTAAAGATATCAGTTTTGTTGTTTAGCATGATTTATGTGAAATTAGGCTTAAATCCAGCTCAAATCTATTGATGCAAGTTTCTGTAGGATTTAAAGTTGACATTTTTGCTATTTGGCAAGCATGATATGTATACTTAAATTTTGCTTAAATCAACCTATTGTTTGCTTAAAATTATTTTATATTCTATGTCATGTTCAAAATGGAGAAAAATGATTCATATAGCCGACCCCAAATAGTGGGTGATAAAGGCTTGATCATGTCGTTGTTGTTGATGTCATGTTTAAAATGATGCGCGTCATGCCATGCACTATGCACTATGTTTCGACATGAATCTTTACACTTCGACATGAATCTTTACACTCTGGTGTGTCATTCATAGTACACATTGTCCAAACATCTCCATCTGTCTTCTTTTGAAGTAGACATTTGACCAAGAATTATTTAACACTTAATTCTTTCCGAAGCTTTTTGTGTAGGTAATTGTCAACTGTTCCTCTAAAAAAAGGCCTGCATTCAAACCTAAGAATGAGCCTTTACTCAAAATGAGGTTTTTTTTTTTTTTGGAGAAGGGGGGAGGAAGGGGTCCATAACTCAACATTTTACTTACTGGCTGCACAGTGTCAAAAATTTTTGTCTATGGTGTTGATGATGATATTTTTGGGAACAAAATGAAGTTTTCTCCTAGCACAAAAAAAAAATTGGAACAAAGAGACCTCCCCAGAAGACTACCTTGAAATTTTTTCAGCATTTGACCAAGCCAGCAAGTTGTTATTTTCTGAATTTTCAAAAGCAAAATGAGAAATGACAGAAGATCTATATTCTCGCACTTGTATCACAAAAGAAAAACCAAGATAAAAATCATACCGAAATCTTGGAGAGAGTTTTAAAGAGGGCACCAATTAGTTGGTAAAAAAACCTGAACTTTCATTAAACTTCGCCACTAGATTCTCTTATTAAGTTCAATTAGAAATATCTTGAGTCCTAAATAGTGTCTGTTTGGTATGACTTGCATCGTCGATTGAATTTGTTTGAATCCATAGCGACAAAGAAGAAAGCAAAGGGTCAAATATGGAATTTCATTATAAAGAGGAGGGGGCTATTATAGAGCCCCATTGTTCAATGAAACAATAACTTGGCTTGTAGTCTGAGGAGATGTCCATGTTGATGTATAGAGAGCAACTATAATTGATGAGGTTTTGACATAAATCATGTCTCATTCATGATCATTTACCAAGCCAAAAAAAATCCTAAGTATGCTATGAAATGAAGGATTTGTTTGATTTATCAACAAAAACCTTAAAAAATGGAGAGGTAATTGCTAGGACTATAAAAATCCCTATTTAACCAAGCACATTTTTTATATGAAACATGCATGGCAATTTAGATGGGATAAATTGGTGCCCAATTTGACATGATTTAGCCAATTGAATAACCAAACAAACACAAAAGGGTGTGATTTCCCTGGATAAGATCCAATGTTTTGCACTTGATCTATGGACACTGAGCCCACACGTCGATGCCTGATTGACCTAGATGGGGCTTAGTAGGCCCAATTTTTCATCTACTTAGGGCAATGTGCCTATGTGTGGAATGCTCAGGTGGTAACACCACCATCGAACATACCGTTAAGTTTGCTCAACTATGAGGAGCATGTTGTGAGCTTTTGATTGTGTCAAAGCGTAATTAATATGCAGTTCATTCCAGAAGGTCCAAGCTTCTCCAAGGTATTATGCCTCCTAAACTTCACCATTTCATGTGCAGTTCATCTCTAAATATTCCTATTGGAAAAGTAGTTTATTCATCAAGTAGTAAGATCTCATCGCATTTTTTTAACAGATCCCTTCAAGCAACAGCTAACCTTCTTGTCAATCCTTCCATTGAAATCTTGATGTCACCACCACTAATAGTGTGGTGTTTGATGTGCTATGTGTAGCTAGTTTTCTAAGACATCATCGAAGGAGACAATCACAAACCACTCAGATTAGCCAGGGTATGCATGTCAAGCAAGGCAACAACTATTCAATTGAATTATGATACTGAAAGAATTTAGTATTGATCATCAAATAAACACGAAGAATATTCAAAACAAAGTCTAAAATAACCTTTCAAAAATTTATAAATAGGCATTATTTTCAAATCGCTCTGTGACTTTTTTCTCTACAAATCTGAGCCCCGGAGAAATTTCTTAACCACTATTGACAGTCATTACACTCACATTGATTACCATCCCGCTTGTGCCAATAACAATGTCGAAGATGCCACTAACGGACACTACCAACAACAACTAAATTGCTCACTATCAAGTGTCAACAAGCCTACTCCTAGTGATAGTTAACGAAGAACATGTCACTAGCAACTAACTAAAGAAATAGAAGACGTTCAAGATTGCAACAACAACAAATCACAGTTTGTGCCAACACTCCCTGGAAGCCTAACTCTTCATGTTGTTTAATGACACTGCTTACCGATGTTAGCTTCTACTCTGTTTACTAATAATGCGTATGAGGACCAACTTAAGCATTTTTCATTCTAACAGCCTAAAATTATGTCAAAGTTCCTCGAACTGCTTGGAGTTGGATACCATTATAAATATCACTAGAAATAGTATATTTTGCAATTGGGTCAACCTCATAATTATTTCCCACCAGAGGTTTAGACGAATGAATTCTACTCTTCTATACTACGCCTGAACGTTGATTTCTTTTGCTGGTATAATGCAAAACTCTCTCATTCTTATAAACTGCATAAATATCTTCCAACACAGGATATCAATAAATCAGAGCAGCTCCCTGTGACAAACAAACATAAAAATGAATTCAAACTTTTGCTATTAAATGCTTCCGCAAGATGTAACGCTAGTAGATCATGAAAACCTCCATAAACGTTAACAACAAACATAAGCTTCACAAGAAATTCTTGGCATCTTGTGCATATGGAACAATTCAATAACAAATAGAGATCAGCATGCACCCGGGGCACTTTCCTCATGGTCAAACTTAGATGATGAAATAATAGCATCAAAAATTAACCGCAAAAAGGGAAATAAACCTCTTTTATTCCTCCAGATCTCTGACAACCTTGATGCCCATGCTATTCGCTGTTCCAATGATAGACTTGCAAATGGATTCGAGACTCATGAACTGGGAGTAGGGATCGGACTGCTTCAACTTGGCGATCTCGTATACGTGGCGGAGAGTGATGGAAGATGTCACAAGATGGCCAGGGCGGCCGCTTCCCGATTCGATACCGGCGGACTTTTTCAGGAACCAGGTCACCGACGGCGACTTCACGATAAACTCGAAGGTATTGTCTTTGTAGGCAGTAATGGTGACTGCCATGGGGGTATCCGGCTTGTACTTCTGCGTCCGGGCATTGAAGTCCTTGCAGAAGGCCATGAGATTAAGCCGGTACTGGCCGAGAGCGGGACCAACGGGAGGAGCCGGTCGGGCGGCGCCGGCGGGGACGGTGAGGCGGATCGTAGCAGCGATTGGGCGCCGAATCTCTTTAGCGGCTGCCATCAGAGAGTAAGAGAGCGCAATCGGTACTCCAGCGGATGGCAAACGCTCGCTAGGCTTCTCTTTCCTCATGCCCAAAATAGCCCGCTTGTAATACTAATTTAAATACATGTTTATAAAACTTTCAAAATTAATAAAAAAAAATTAAATAAAAAATTATGGACTATATTGCTTATTTTAAAAAGATTTATTTAATAGTTTTACATATTATATTTTGTTTAATGATAAAAAAATATGCATAATTCTAAAGAGAATTTGATTCTTAATAATATGATTAAATAGTATTTGAAACTCATTATATATTGGTGATGCCGAATAACAAATTATATATATTAATTAATTATTAATAAAAATTTATGTTGTTAAATGATATATATAATAATTTAAAATATGTCACAAGCACATCTTGCTCCTATATGGATATATTTTCATTATCATTTATGTTATCAATTGAATATTTATTTATTGTATTGAGCTGCTTATTCAGTCTCTAATATCAATGGAATACATTATTCAACAAAAAAAAAATCTTGCTTCTTATTTAATTGATATGATTCTAATTGGAAGATATATTCTATCATAAGATCAAATATGAGTTAAAAAATAAAAAAAATAAACTTATAACTTCAAATTGAATTTAATTAATAAATTTTTATAAAAAAATACACTTTTTTTTTTATAAAAAAATACACTTATATTTGACTAATATGTTATAAACTATTAATCAAATGCAAAGCATATAAATAATTATTAATTTTTATATAATATGTTATAAATAAATAATTATATAATTTATAAGGCCAACTTAAACAACTTTAATATATTGCAAACCTTGTACCTAAAATGCAAGAAATTTCCTTGAAAGAACATTAGCTATAATTGCTAATATTAAAATTTGTAAAACTCCTATAAGCTCAGTTACAACAATGTATGAAGGCTCGATAGCTTCTTATGTTTCTAAATTCGACAACAACAAAAAAACAAAATTATGAATTCAAATGTCTGCGAATTAAATTTCAATATAAAAAAATTATAGTAACTTTCATTGTACCTGATCTGATTGCCCAGTAAAAGAAATTAAAAGTTTAATAAAAATAAATAATAATTAAATAATAATGTTGATAAAAAAATTTTAAATTTTGAAAAAAAAAAGATGAAGCGGAATTATATTTCTTTGATTGAAATTTCACATATGAATTAATTTAATATAAATATAGATTACCTCTAATTAAAATTGCTATCTGTTCTACACTAACTCTTGGGGGCGGCATCCATCGCAATAGTGCTAGTCTTGGGCGCCACGGTGTTGGGCATTGGTCATCGAAAAATATTTTTATTATATAAATCTCCACATCTCACCACCACCATCCCACCCATCCCAATTCTAGATTCTTGTCAGTTAAGGAAAGGAAGAGAGAAGAGGAAGACAAGAGGAGAAGAGAGAGATGACTATTCATAGATAGCCACCTAACACTTGATGTTGATATAAGATACATGAAAACACCATGTCTTGCTATTCATGATTGTATCCATGTTTACATACATTGACATAAGAGCATATGAACTTATTGATGGATAGAATTGATATAAAGTTGGTCAGAGGTGGAACCAGTCTTAGTTTTTGGGGAAAGGGTATAAGATAAAATTCAAAACAAATTCTTAGATTGCAGTATAATTGTTAAATAACAAAATTATTAGTTTTTCATTTTATTTTGCATTTCTAACAAAAAAGTATCATTTTTTATACATTTATTGCTAAAGGTATTTTTCAACTATTTGGTCCCTAATCATTGATAATTTATGTGGTGTGCCTACTTAATAAGATGGCAATGGATAAGATTGGGATAGATGATTGTTATGCTAACTTTTCTTTAGTTTTGTGTGTGTGTGTACAATAGGATGCCAAATAGCCCTAACTAAATTATTCAATGTTGTCTATGCCTCTCAGTTGTGAATTTGTGGAACAGCAAAAGGTATGATATCAAAAATGGCACACCGTACAAATAAGAAGCACATAACAAATGCAAATTTTGTTCCACCATTCACCAATGTCAAAAATTTAACAAAACAGAAAAAATAAACTCAACTTAAAAAAAAAAATACTTAAAAAGGTCACGATTCATGAAAATGAGTAAGATGAAGATATTGGAAGAGGCTCACCAGATAAGCCAAAGAAACAACTGAAGAAGATGCTTTGACGACTACAAACACGCAGGATGGGCGGGATGGCTGCTATCATGGACGCCAACAATTGTGGACGCATAAGCATGAAGAAGAGGTAGTTGGCACCGACAACCTAGAGGGGAGAGGTGGAGATCTGCTCACGGTACGAAGAAGAAGAAGAGGGAGCCAGGAGGAAAACATGAGTGATGATTGCATAGTGTGACTCTTTCACGCATATGTAGGCGATTAGGGCAAAAGAGGGGACATAAGATGAGATTTAGGGAGGGAGGGGATTACTTACTTAACCCTATTATAAGGGCTGAACGTGGTTCCGCCACTAGAACTAATAAAACCAATATTAAGACTAATATAATATAACATAAAATATGACATGGACAAAGAAAGACATTGATAAACATTTTAATACAGCATACTGATATGACATAATAATTGATAGAAGTGAGTAATAAAATTATTAGTATAAATATAATTGATAGATAATCAACATTTATTTTATTATACGACTCTTGACATTGTTTTATAACCTTTTATTTGTTTTGTTATATATTAATATATTCCTATGAGATGCTTTCGATCTACTAATCATTTTGGTTCTTATTGTGATTTCACAAATTGTTTATTGTATATACTGATGATGAATGATTTTATGAAGATTGAGATAAGCATGCATATTGATTCTAGAGGCATTCAATTGGAAGCATTGGTAGTTTTGGTTGTTTGTTGGGATTTGTAAGCTTATTATGTGGTTATGATTTCAGGTCAGAGAAGGAGTTGTGATTCAAAAGAGTGAGGTTGATAAGTGTTTTTAGGTTTTATTTTGTTTTGTATTTCTTTTTTTGGTATATAGTTAGGAGCTGAAAGATAGATTAATTTATTGACTAATCTACAAGCTATTCTAAATTGCATTATGAATGAATGAATATAGAATTACATTTCGATGCATTTGATTTGCTTTGGCTTTTGCTAGAATTTATAAAATTAATGGATAATTAGTAACTCTGATCATAATACAAAGATAAAAAAGAAACAATTTTTTTATTTAGATTCTAAGAAGTGACAATAACCAAGTGAGTCAGCTCTCTCTCCATATAAATATTTTTAAGCAATAATTATTTTTGAATTACTAGAATCAAAAGAGAATGAAAGTGCTCAATAAGGTGATAGATAAAAGTTAGGTGCTTAGGAATGGGGCATCACACTAACCAAGTGAGACAACTCTCTCCATATAAAAAATTTATACAATTTTTTTTTTCAATTACCAAAATCAAAAGAGAATGAAAATGCTCAATGAGGTGATACATAAAAGTTAGGAGCTTAGGAAAATATAGAAACAATTTATTCATAATTTCGTGAGTTCGTTGTCTATACTATCAAACTTGAAATCACGAAACTATGAAGATAGTCAGCCCAACCTAATCGTGAAGTGCTCTATCAGTGACTATAAATTACATCATCTAGAGTTAGATTTGTGATCTCAATTTGAGAAAAGAAAATTTAGAATTGCTAAACAAATGAATGTTGAGAGGTGGATTGAAAAGATCACTTATACTTTATGGTAGAATGAGGAATGCATATATGAGATAACCCAATTATATACAATCAAAACTACTCAAATAGACGCACAGTCCTATTTGGGTCAAGACAATCATTATCATGCATATTAAGATGACATTGATATATATTAATTAAAATCATGCTTACAAATAAATGCTCCAACATAAGAAATATGCTATGTATGCAAGCTATCTATCTCCAAATAAGAGGCTTCTATGTATATTTGGCTATATATGAAATGAATGTGAGTCTATGCTTGGGATTTTGATTATTGATAAGCTCTATTATGTACCTTATGCAAGAGAATTTTTTTGAATGAAAAATGTGGCTAGTAATTAAAATAAATTTGTAATTAATTATCAATTTATTAAATTTAATGAAAAGATATTTTATTCTAAGAGCTTACTACTTTCATGTGATTTCCAAATTAACCACAGAGAGTTAACATAACAACTTATAAAGTGAATTAATTATGAAGTTGTTAGTGAATGAGATTTTGTGGCATATATCCCTATTCAATGGCAATTACAATATTAATAAGCCTACAAATTGTGTCACCATTCTTTCATTTTTAATCATTTTTCAAACGCTAGCAAAGTTTATCAAAAACATTAAAAAAAAAAAATTCCCTCACTTTATAATGCTTAATTAAAACTAGGGGTGTCAATTTATGACAGGATCTGAACCCGACTCGGAAAAATTCGGGTTATGGTCAACCTGGACCCGAAACAGGTCGGGTTTAGGTTCAACAAATCAACTCGTTTTAAAAATTGGGTCAGGTTCGGGTTGACCCAGCAACCCGAAAATGACCCAAAATTGACACGAAAACTCCTATTTGACTTAGAAACTTGAGATTGGCCCGTTTTTTTACCCAATTTTGACCCGAAAATCAAAAATTGGCCCAATTTTTACACGAAAACTAACAATTTTAGGTCAACTTCAGGTCATTCGCGTCGGGTCGGGTTGACCCGAACCAGAATCCGGTCAGGTTCGAGTCCGAAAACCTGATCCATTTTTAAAAACAAGTCGAGTTCGGGTTTACCCAAATAATGCCAGGTCAGTTCCGGGTTCAACCCAAACCCGATATGTTGACCAGAATTTACACTCCTAATTAAAACTTATCTCATTAGCATTAAGCATAGGGGGAACAAAGTAAATTAGGCTTAATAACTCAACACCAAGCCCGATCTTTCTTTTGCTGCGTTCAGCTTTTCCACTTCTCTCTTTTGCTTTGTAATCCATGGGCGCCCTCTCCCTCTCCCTCTCCCTCTCTGTGGGGCAGATATCAAAAGACTTTCCAGTACTCCCACATGCATGCCTGCCCCCTGTCAGCCTTTTCATTCACGTTTACTGCATTATATATATATATATATATTAAAAAAAGAGTCAACAAAACAATACAAGCACTCAAGAGGCCTTAGGCTGCACAATTCTAAATGCAAATATCAAAATTCATAGCATAGCTGAAGGCTGAAGCTCACGGCAAACTCCCAAACGGTCAGGCATCAATGAAACCGAGAGAAATCCAGACAATCATAACCATGAGAGCTAATATGCACAAAGAGATTCTGAGACTTCGTTTAGGACAACTTTCTTATTGCTTTTTAAAATAACTTTTTAGTACAAAATTTTTAATTTTTTACTAGGAAACAACTTTAAGAAGCAATAAAAAAGCCATCCCAAACGAAATCTGATTATCAGAAGCTGTGGAGCTGTGTAAGCATTGCTTCGAGCTCATCGCTAGAAGGACGATCAGCAGGCAAGTCTGAAAGGCAAACAAGAGCAATTCTGATTGCCATCAACATCTCCTCCTCCTTTTCTCCTTCAGCTAGCATTCCTTTGTCGAGGGCTTCTCGTGCCTCTCCAACCTGCTGCAAGTGCCTCAGCCATGGACCAAGACCGCCCCTCCCCATCTCTTCCATGAAGAATGGATCCGAAGGATCTTTCCCTGTTAACAACACGCTGAGGATCATTCCAAAGCTATATATGTCGCTTTTATCAGTGTACCTGTTCAATAAAACAGAACAAATTCCATAGTTATTTGATTTAGAACAAGCTGTTGTAATATATGAGATTGAGAGAATCAATTATGTATAAGTATCATGAAGAATGTATGATCTATCTGTATGGTCCCCTTTTGACAAATACTTGGTGGAAAATTCATTGGAACATGATGCAGTTTGCAAATATGAGAGGGATGGTAAGGAAAATGGCATTTTTTTGTTTCACAATTGAAACCTTATAGGTATCTGAGCTTGCTTAATATTTGTACGAGAAATGATAACCAAAATTCACTTGTATTGCCTATCTATAATTATGGATTCTCCTTGTTCAGATGAATCTGTACTAAATCAATTCTAATTAAAGTTGAACGCCCAAGAAATAAGATACAGAACAGATACACAGAACAATAATACAATAAAGGGATTTTTACATACATAACACCTAAAACTAAAACTATTGAAAATACATATTTAACACCTAAACTTCTATATTTACTAATATACCACCTAAAACCCATCTTTTAATCAATTCTAACATTCCGTTTAAACCTTTCGTAAAAAATCACTATAAGTGATCGTCTTCCCGTCAATGGCATCCTTTCACAGTGAATACAAGTATCTTATCGCTTCAATGGAGTGATATAATAGAAAGAAAGGGGGATTTTAGGTGATATATTAGTAAAAATAAAGTTTAGATGTTCAATATATATTTTTAATAGTTTTAGATGTTATGTATATAAAAATCCCTAAAATAAAACAAAAAACTCCAACTTCATAATGAAATTAGCACCAAATTCCAATTTCCCATCAGAATAGCGCAAGTCATACATAGTCTTCAAAGCATATCTTGACACCCAACAACAAGAAACCAAATGTTGAAGTAGCTAAGAACTTATCAAAATGCTGATAAATAGTAGAATAGCTTAAAAACTCTGGTGCTCATAAATAAATAGGCAAAATTTGCAGTAAAATCTAAAGCATCAATCAAGGGTAAAACTTTGTGGATGATTAAAAAAAACAACAACAACTTGCTGTATAGTAGCAACAACAATGAGAATAATCCAGTCTGCAGAGTTTGCAGCAAGTCATTAATAAATTTCAAACACAGTAGCCCAGTCATCACACATCACTGTTAAGGGCAACTAACAATAAAAAAATTAACATAACCACTTATGATCAACGTTAGCAGAATTCAGATTAAATGCGCAAACGACATCAACATAATCTTAGGGCATCTCCAACCAAAAATCTCATTTTTCACTCCAAAATGCACTAAAACTAAAAAATGACGTGATTCATCTCCAATCGAACTCCATTTTGCTCCCTTCGTAGAAGATAACCTCCTTTCTCCTCCTTAGCGCATTTTTTTCAACAAATCCGGTAGAGACAAAAAAATAACGCGGGTGCACAGTGCACGTCAATATTAGCGTCACAATGTTCACCTACAACCAAATACCGGAAGTTTTGCAGTTAGGCTTGATCTTCTGTTGGAGATGCCCTTAGCAAGATTCTAACTATTTGGAGCTAGAATTTGATGAAGCTACAAGTCTCAGATGCTTGAAGTGAAACAAGTTCTTATTTAGCAAAAAACACAAACCCATAAAAGTGCAGTTCGTATGGGCACCTTATCAACTTGAATCATGAACATAATTAAAAGTTAGAACTTAGACCATACCTGCAACTCTGAAAACACTCTGGTGCAACATAACAAGAGGAGATTGGCGCATCCACACCAGCCACTACCAGCCTCGCCAAGCCACAATCTCCCAACTTTGGTTCGAAACCTTCATCTAGCAACACATTTGTGGGCTTCAGATTGTAATGTAAAATCCTTGGAATGAATTCGAAGTGTAGATACTTCAAACCCTTCGCCATCCCTATCGCAATCCGAAGTCTCAACTCCCATCCCAGTCTCAACCGATTCAATCTCACCCTTTTCATGGCATCCTCTAGGCTTCCATTTGAAATATAATCGTACACCAAAGAGAACCGATCATGGTCTCGTACGTAAGCTCTCAAGCTCATCACATTCCGGTGGCTAACCTTTGCAAGCAATTCAAGCTCTCTCTGCACTTTCCTTTTCCATGAATTGGAATTTGTTCCAGGGGAACCACTAGAGCAAGTGGATTCAAGCACCTTTACTGCAACTGTCACCTCATTGTTAAGTGATAATTTGAAGTACTTGCCATTGGGGCTGGAACCAAGCATTTGTAGAGATTCATCGTTGCCGGAAAAAATAACTTTCAGAGATTTAGGAGAGATTTTGGGGGTGAAGATGACTGGACCTTTGAGTATTGGGGTACGGTTGGCAAACAGGAGGAATAGTCGGATCGAGAAGAGGAAGACGATGGAGGCAACAGCACCAGTGAGGGAGCCGAAAAGGATACCAAGGAGGATTCGCCTAAGACTGGCGCGGCTTGAGGATGGATGAAGATTGGATGGTGGGGAAGAACTTGGAGGTTGCGATAAGTTTGAATCAGAAAATGGTGAGAAGGAGGTTCCTGTGATTTGGGAGAGGAGGAAGAATAGGCAAATAAGGTATTGCAGAGCTAGGGTTTTTCCAAAAAATTTCTTCTCCATGAGAGAATCAGTGAGGTGGAGGTGGGAAACTCAAGACATTCTCAAGCAGAGGCCAAGATGCTCTTGGTTTCCCTGCTGGATACTGAACTTAAAAGCACATTATCAGCAGGAGAAAAACCAAGATGGGGGGTTTTGTCCTTGAGGTTCTTGGCGGTGTGGGTGACGAGTTAAAATACCTCAATACACAGCGAAGCCTCAACTAAAAAACAACAAATCAGAATAAAAATGGCTACCTTCATTTTTTAGGTATCCAGAAAACAAAACAGAACTGCAATCAAATCAAGAGAACCACCTAAAAACCGAAAATTTTGAATGGGGTTCATCAAAAAAAAATTTTTTGAAGGGGGCAATCAAAGAATCTCAAACTGAAACCACAAGGAGCGCACCAAGCCTCGATATACATAAAAACAAGGATCTTTTGAAAAAGAATATTTTTAACTTTATTTATGCTTCATTAAATAAATATAATCATAAATTCGCATATATAATATATACATAAAAGTATAAAACCTCAAATCTAAATCTCTTGAGAGAAAAATTAGCTGCGCTAGAAAATAAGTTTTTTTTTTTTTTTTAAAGAAGAAAGTTCAAATAAGCTAATGAATTTTGTTTTTCCGAACCAGCTGTGATGCTACAAACAAGTTCATTTCATAGAAAAATAGAAACAGAACACCGTAACATTTTTTCAGAACAGTAAGCCTAAATCGCGAAAACACAGTACAGACAAAAGTCACAAAACTCCACAGTCCATGCTAAGTTTAAAAAATAAAATGAAAGGAAAAAAGCGACCTTATGGACAAATTGATAGATAATCCATCTCAGACAGCGCCAATACCCTTTGTTTTCCCTCCCGACGCCGGCAAATCATTACCTTATCGCAAGGAAAAACAAGGGAGCGAGCCAAACTACAATTGCAGGAATCGGAATTTTTTATCATAAGAAAATAGGAAAAACTAAAAAGCTCTCGATTCGCGTGACTGCTCTGCTTTCTCTGTCCCTTCGCTCTCTCTCCTCTTTTGGGAATTTGGATTTTTCACCACGGAAGTCCCACAAAAATTAAAAGGATTTTTTACCGCGGAGTTTTAACGTCGGAAACTCCCGCCTTGCAGCCGCTGAAGCGGATATCATCGTCATCAGCGATTAAATATTAAAAAATGAGGTCTTGCGTCGGATACTCGGATTCATGCCCGTGCGGGAAGAGACGAAATCATCACCGTAGGTTTCTCTTAACAATTTTTTTTACTACATTATGCTTCATACTTTTTCCCTCTTTTTATTAAATTATTAAAAATTTAATAAATTTAAGCAAAATATTCTGACTTTATATGCCTTATAATTCTTATAATTTAAAAAAAAATCTCTTATATTTTTTTAATCAAATAAGTGCTCTAACTTGATTTATCAATTTTTTTTCTAATCATAATACTATGAGTTCATATATATATATATATATGTGTGTGTCTCCTTCGAAGATTCTTTCCTAGCAAATTTTAAAGTTAGTGTCGTCGAAGTCTTCATCAAATTGTCACACTATCCCAATTCCAATAGAAAAGGCGAGCTTTACTTTTTTAAAATTTAATTTGAATTGGAATTCATCTGTTGTCTCTCCCATCATCAATCACCCTTCTAAATTACAATAGGAATGAGACAAAAGGAGAAGGGTTCTAAAGATAAGTTTGAATTGGAGCTTAGAACAATAGGATAAAATCCTAAATAAAAAAGCGAGAGTTAAATGAGTTTGCTTTAGGTTTGAAATTTTTTCAAACCCTTCCAAGCCTCATATTATGGGTTAGAACCCTGTTCAAATGAAGTTCTAACTTATGCATTGAATTTATTAAGATATGCGTATTAGCTTCAAAATTAGGTTCGTGCTAGATTTAAATAAGTTTCACAGTTATAATTATTTGAATCTTATTTGAATAAAATTCATACTTCTTTTTAAAACTTAAGGGTTGACCATTAGTTTCAAAATAAAGGTTCAAAATTAGGTCCAAATAATATTCAATCTTATTCAAATATTATTTTGAACATTTGCTTAGAATTTTAAAAAAAAAAAAAAAAACTGAATTCAAAGAGATTCAAACTTGAGGAATGAGGACGTGCCCTCATTATCTTCTATAAAATTAATTCATTTGATTTACTTTATTATGCATTTAAATATCCAAACTAGCTATCCATATGGAGAATCATTACATTGTCAAAGACACAAATTTGAGGGTGTGAGGTAGAATATAATAAATGCTTCAAACTTATGATCTTCTTGAGTGTTATGCAATTTCCCTTCAATTTGTTCTTTGATGCTACTAACCTTTAGTTTTCCACTATCTTGACACTTTAGCTTATCCTAAGAAAAAATGATGATGCAAAGAGTAATTGTTACTCTATTATGTTTGATTATGTTTGATAATGTGATAAGAATACAAATTTTCGTATTGATTATTAGGTTGAGATATGATGAATTTTTTCTAAGTAAATAATTGAGGAGATTATCACTATTAGAAAACTTGCTAGTAACTAACTAAATTGTGAGAATTAAATTAAGAATACAGTGCATGAGAATGCATTCATGGAGTGCACCAAAAGGAAAATGGTCCCCAAAATCCCACTTCTACCGACAGGTGCGAATTTCTTAAGAAAATTCAACAGTGTTAAAAAATTATGAAAAAAAATAGAAAAGTTAAAACACAACATTATAAATGTTATTGCGAAAACGGTTTGTGATTTGGACTTATTATGACTCCAGAAATAAATATTGACTGTTCTAGATCAAAAATTCTTATAAGAAAATTTAGGGGTTTCACAAATCAATTAATAAAGACTTAACAACGAATGGTCCGACAATTCTACTCAGGGGTACTTTGGGATACTTGAGTCTGAGAGATATCTTGAATCTCAAGCTAATTTCAAGCTCCAACTCTCATCCCCCCTTTTATGTAAAAACTGATGGATTATTTATAATTTTTTAGAGTGAGATCCTTCTTAACTACAACAAAAACTTAGAACACTATATCAAATGACCCATATTTATTTCATTGATCATAAGGTGCTTGTTCAACATTTAAGTGCCTTAAGGCTTGTCAGATTCACCTCATGAAGATGTTTGATTCAACTAAGCATGTCCAATTTGGAGACCATTTGACCATCCAATTAATGTCTTGAAATTTTCAATTATGTTTCAGACCCTTGATTTAGTTCAATTCAAGCTATGATTAGATCACTCTTGATGTCGTTGGGTTCATATTATGATGAAGTTTAGCTCGACAATAAATGTGTTGAAATTGAAAATTGAAAATTGATTGATCCTAATTTTAATTTTACAAGTTTTTACTATGGCACTATCTTACTTGCCCATATTAATTACCTTAATCATTAGATGATTTTTGTTTAAGTTCACGAAAGCCCCCTTTATCTAAACTATGAAAGCCGAAAGAGAACTTTCAACACCTAAAATGGAACTTTATCATGATAAGAGAGCATATGTGCTCTATCTATCTTAAGATCATTTCTTTGTTGGAATGAACGGTCAGGATGAATGCCAGTGGGAGACATTCATTGGAAATGAGAGAATCTCGGTAGTGCTTCATATATTCGGCCATAAATAAAGCTTCCAAAAGGTCCATACAAGTTTGTGCTAATGATTATGAGAAGAAATTAAGTTAAAATGTTGTTATAAAAAATTTAGAAGGATGAATCTATAAATCACTGAATTTAATTTGAATTAAATATAATATATAAATAATTAAATATTATATTTATAATTTTAATTGAATAGAACCCGCCTAGGGTTTATTTTACGGAGATTTGCGATCAATTATAATTATGATTACTAAATTAATTTTAAATTATATTTCTATTTAAGTTAACTAAAAATTATGTCTTAAAATAAATATAATAGTTATACTATTTCAAGCTAATTTTATTGAATCTTTAAAATATAACTCAAAAGCTTTTTTAAAAAATTTAAATTAATTACAATTAATCAAAAGTTATATATATTAAAATTAATTAAAATATTAAATAATAAATATAACTATTAAAATTTTAATATATATTTTTCATAACTTTGAAATTTGAAAATTTTTTAATAGATATTTTTTATAACTTCAAAGTTTGAAAAACAAAAAATTTTAATAGGAGGTACAAGAAATATTTTATAACTTCAAAATATAACACACTCTCTAACAAATTTTTCTCTCTAACGTCTCTCTCTCTCCCACTTTCTCTTTCCCCCTTTCTTTCTCGCCAATTAGACAGCAAAAAAAAAATCACAAAAAACTCAGCAGAGAAATAGTTTAAAATTGGAAACGCAAAAAATTGCATTTTTACCGAAAATGCAATCGTTTTTTTTTTTTTTTTTTTTTTTTTTTTTTTTTTTTTTTTTGAATTTTCAAACAAAGCGCAAGCATGCAATGCATTTTTTGATCTTTTTAAATTTAATTTATATCACGCTCCTCTTTCTAAATCCTATTATAAGATGTCCTATTTAATGATTATTGGGTTTTATGTGTTGGATAAACCCTAAACCCTAAATCTAAGAATGGCAGACGTCAATAAATGTGATAGGAAAGTAAAAAAAAATAAAAAAATAATTGTGATAGTAAAGCACCCTTCTGTAAGGCATTTTAGGGCTGCTGTGCTACGGGAGAAATTATTATGTGCGGAATCTGATTATAGAGCTGTGTTCGGATGCTTACGTGGAAAGTTAAAAGTCCGCGATATTTATTTGACTTGAGTATTGATTAAGTACTTATTGCGTATTAGTTGCGTAAAATGTGCGTATTGATTGAGTATTTTATTGGGTATTTGTTGCATATTTATTGAGTATTTGTTGCATATATGTTGTGCATTTTCTGCTTATTTGTTGCGGATTTCTCTTCGTCTGTAGTAAGTCCGAAAAGACAAACGTGCCGAGTAAGAAGTCAAATGAATATCCTAACTTTCCACGTAAGCACGTCACGTGTAATGATTTTACTGGCATCCAAACACATCTCTATAACCGGATTCCGCATAGAATAATTTCTCGTGCTACAGTAGATATTCCATCAAATAAACGTGCATTAGGAAGCTTACCTATTAAGCAACTTGAAATGTACTATTTATCTATCTTATCCATCATATAAATATATCATAAAACAAATGAAACAAGTAAACTATAAAAGTATCTAAGAGTAAAAACAATAAGCAATAACATAGCCAAAACATAATTATATTACAAAGATGCACAAATATGATGATAAGCAGAATAACTATCAAATGAGCAGAAAATTAAGGTGAATAAAAATATTTAATGGCCCAAAATTAGGTTAAAGAACTTCCCCTACAAATGATTTACCAGTTTCATACAACACAAAATAAAAGTTCAGATGGATTTCTTATTAAATTGACTCCAAATAATTGGGATAAGATTAATGACAAATGTTCAGTTGCAGATTATTGTCACCGGTGCCAAGTTATACATAAACACTACAGATTGGGAAAAAAATTATGACCTTTAGATATTCATAGCCTCAAGACACGCATAGCAAAAACTATGAGCATAAAATCCTCAATAAATATTGTTCTGATAAAAAGCTGATGTGCCAAAAAGAAGTGCAAGGTGATTGTAAAGCTTGCAATAGTTTCTAATCCCTACCTCCAACCTGCAAGGATGTGCTTAAACCAGAAACACAGGAGACATGCCAAAGCCTGCTAAGAACAATGTAAGGCAGCTGTGAATCTCCATAAGTTGCCCAATTAACAACAAGCAATTTAGAAAGCAATTGAACAAACTTTTTCCCATCCTTCTACATAATCTGCAGAAGAACAGAGGAAACTGGTCTACAGGACAAAATATTTGAAGAAATTTCCGAATATATTTTTTTTTTATGCACGAGAAATATAATGTTATTTCCTATCAAGAGAGTGTTCTAAAGCCGGGCAAGCATCAGAGATTGATAATATTTTCATAATTAGTGTGACCCGAAATTGATCCGTTGTTAATCCGAAAACCCGTTTTTGACCCGGCAACCCGAGATTGACCCATTTTGACCCGAAAAGTGGTGATTGACCAGTTTTTGGACCCCAAAACTAGTAGTTTTTTGTCTGTTCCGAGTTATTCGGGTCGGGTCAGGTCGACCCGAACCCAAAGCGGGTCGGTTCGGGTCCACAAAACTGTCCAGTTTGCAAAAACATGTCGTGTTCAGGTTGACCCGAAAAGTGTCGGGTCAGTTTCGGGTTCAACCTGAACCCGACCCGTGACCCGAAATTGACACCCCTACCTATCAAGAGAGAGTATTCTAAAGCCGAGCAAGCAACAGAGATTGATAATATTTTCATAATTAGTGTGAAGTGGGACATGAATTGGGATTACCTGGAAAATTAGAAGCCTGATGCACAGTGATTTTTCTGAGCATTTGCCAAATTTTCTGAGGAATAGGTTAACAAGCGTCCCATCATCAGTTCCAGTAAGCAGCCCAGTTTTAGGATCAAAACTGTATGAAATACAGGTTAAGAAAATGTCTTATTTGGTTGCAAAACCTTACAAAAGTGGTTTTCAAGAGAAACCTTGGGAGGCGATGCCTTGGACAGGGATAAAACTTCAAGAGCTGTGAAACAAATATATAATAAGTTAAAGATTTATTGTGGAAATATTCAAATGACACTGAAGGAGTTATGTGGGATACTGAATACCTGAGGACATGATAAGAGAAAGTTCAGAACTTGAGGCAAGAAGAAGACTATCAGTGCCTCGCTGTTAGTTGCAACATGGAAAAGTCATTTTGAAGTAATCAAATAAACAACTGCGTTCAAGTAACTCATGATTTAGAAAAAAATTGCAACAGCATGCAAGATTCCAAACACGACTAAGGAGCCCATGTTTGCAACTAGTGGTTTGCCTAGTTGTTTTCATGCTTTCGCATGCATACTCAGAAGTGAATTTTCTGTGATTAAGTCATGAGTTACTTGAACGTACAATTTTTTGCAATAATAATAATAATAATAATAATAGTAATAACTTCTATTAATTGATCTTTACATTATATATATATATATATATATACTTTGACCATTAGCTGTACTTTTGGCGAGGGAAAGAGATGCTAATTGTATTATGATTTCCATTTCATTTAGCACAATATAGCAACTTATGAAAAACATCTTGTGACTGGTTTATGAAAGCAATGCATATTTGGTGTTGAAAAATTAAAGAAGTTTTTCTTCATCAGGACTCTATATATGAAATTTTTATGAGTAGAAATTTTAATAAAACTGTTAATCTTTAGTTGTATTTCTTCTAACAAACTAGTAATAAAACAATTATATATAGCACAAGTAATTTTATCAGCGCTGTATGTATGCATAGTTGTATGAGCAACTGATGTTCCTACAGGGGTAGTTATAGACTAGGGATATTTATAACTATATATAACATAAAACTTGTTGAATACTCCTTAAACACCGACCTCTCAAATATTACAAAATATAACACCCTAAACTACCAGCTATTATAATAGGGCCGCTTCATGATGTAGAACTACGTATGAATGTGATGATTTGTAAGATCTTGCACAACTCATGATTAGAGAATAAAGAGGAAAACAACAAACATTAAAAACGACGGAGTAAGACGAAAGAAGGGTCACGCCCGTTAGGCTAAGAAACATAACCAGAGATTTGAAACTTTAAAATAAATTAGAAAACAACATCATGCCGGAATAGTAGTTTTAATAAAAATCCGTAATTTATCAGTAAGAATTAGTAAGCAAAGAAGTACACTCAAATCCCTATGTTTACTAAGCTATAGCATAAGCAAATTGAGGCGTCTTTCATGACTACAATCAACTCACAAGAAAGATTAGGCTTAAGAAAGACACGAAGAGGAAGAGTAGGAAACCTTCGTCAAAGATCGGCGGCAATCCTTCACTCGACGATCCCCCTGTTCTTCAATAGCTTCCACTAACGTGTCCAAGATTCGTTCGATGTAATCTTCCACGGAGTGATCGATCATCGGGTTGACGTCGAAGAAAGTTGAATGTAAGATGCACACAAACCCGTGCTCGTCATAGGAGAGGCAGTATTCAGTTTCTGGATCCGCCATTCATGGATGCTCAAGGATGATCTCTTCCAAAGGGTGTTAGCAGTCTCGAACTTTGTTGAAGAGAAAGAAGTTTCTCTTTAACTTGTAGTGGGACGGCACGGTGTGGCCGGCCTAGGGAAGAGGGAGAGGAGTAGTAGATCAAGTGAGGGGACACAAGTAGAAAATCTGAAATAAATTTCAGATTCTCAATGGGAGGGATTTAGGAATTATTCCCACTTTAATTCTAAGAGAAAGAGGCTTGAATTTAAGAAAGAAATCAAGAGGTGGGGGATGAGGGGGTTCGGCCAAGCAAGGGGAGGGAACAAGTGTCTAGGTGCAATGTATTTTGGAAAAAGGGATTTAATTTAATCAATCTATCATGAGTTGATTGATTGATTTAAATTAGGACCCTTCCAAAAAAGATAAAGAGGAAATAGGAAAGATTTGAAATCTAGATTGAATTTAATTTCAAATTCAAATACTTTCCAAAGCAATTGGAATTAAATAGGGAAGGGTGGAGGAGTTTAGAAATAAATCCAAGTGGATTTATTGGAGGGGGGGCCAGCGGCATCATGAGGGTGGGAGGGAATTGTGGCAATCAATTGGGGCTTCCTATTTTGGGTTTAAATTTAGAAAATTTCCTAAAATAGATTTGAGAATTTTAGAAAGATTTTAAATTTCAAACTGATTAGATTTGAATTCAAAATCTGCCCCAATTAACCCAATCCGAATTAGGCAATGGAAATCTAAGGGGAAGGAGGCTAGGGCCGGCGGGTGGAGGGGGTTTCGGGTAAGGTGGCCGGCGGCTAGTGGGGGAAAATTTGTGTAGCTCGGTTGGAAAGAGACGATGGCTTGGAGATGGAGATGGCTTGGATTTAATGATGTCCAATAGTGGTGGTGGAAGAGAAAAGGAAAATGATAAGGAAGAAAACCGCGAACCCGGCCGTCTCCAAGGTTGGTGGGTGATCCGATCTCCCTCTCCTAGGGATTTCTCTCCAATCAAACTCTCAAGCTCTCACAAGAACTCATGCAAGGAAAAAATTGTAATCAATCATTCATTACCATGAAAATAAAACAATGGGCTATAAATAGTTATGAGACTCAAAAAATAAAAGATGAAAATGCCCTCAAACCTTACATACAACATCCATTTACTAGAAGGGTACAATAAAATAACATAAAAAATAAAACAAATACATGAAACATAAATAAACATAACATGAATCAAAAGTACAATGACTCGATCGTGGCCGTAGATCGGCGGTCACGCCTCTGATAAACCTTCCACGATCTGATGTCCCCATTATTCTCCCGGGGTGAGAGAAAACTCGACTCCGTCGAGTAAGTGTCTCTGGTAGTCTCGTACATCTCTAGTGCATCTAGGTCAATCTACTGCAACTCCTCGCGGTCTAGCCAAGTATCCTCTTACTCGGGTTTTCCTTTCCACCTAATCAAGTATCTCCTTCGCCCACCTTCTCTTGTAGATATGATATTATTACTTAGGATCGTGTCCACCTTTTCTGCTATGGGAGATTTAGGAATATTTGATAGTAGAGGTAGGTTTGGGATCTCACATGGTGGGGTCACACATGGCTGTTGTATGAGTGTATTTGGAGGGTTAAACTCAGGACATTCATATGCAACTAAATCTTCTATGTTAAAAGAGGGATTAATGTTGAAATTTGCAGGCACGTCTACTACATAGGCATTATCATTAGTTTTATTAAGTATTTTGAAAGGTCCAGCACTCTTGGCATGCAACTTCTTAACCGTTCCCGATGAGAACCGTTCCGGACGAATCTGCACCATCACGGAGTCACCAACCTCAAAAGTTTTAAAGCGTCTTTTCATGTCTACATGTAGTCTGTATTCATTATTACTCCTTTCAATTTGTTGTGCAATTCTTTATGAAGCTCATGCAAATGGGATACAAATGATGATGCAGACTTAGAAATCTTATACCTAGAACACATGGGTTTCAGATCTAATGGATGTCTAGGCTTGAACTAATGAAACTTTTATTAACAACTCCGTGGTTCGGTTCATAAAATTATAATAGGCAAACTCAGCAGCAAGCAAAATGGAATCCCAATATCTAATGTGATCACCAACCAAAGACCGCAACAAATTACTCAAACTTTTATTAACTACCTCAGTCTGACCGTCCGTTTGTGGGTGAAAGGCCATGAAAAATTGCAATTTGGTGCCCATTTTCATCCACAGGGTTTTACAAAAGTAGCTCGTGAACTTCATATCTCTATCTGATATAATGGTTTTGGGTAGACCATGTAACGGACGACCTCATTGAAGTATAACTTTGCAATGTGAGAGGCATCAGATGTTTTGGAGCAAGGAATAAAATGAGCCATTTTGAAAAACCAGTCAACCACAACACAAATGGCATCGTGCCTACGGAGTGTCTTGGGAAGGCCTAAGATAAAGTTCATACTAACATCATGCCAAGGACAATTAGGGACATGTAGAGGAGTGTAAAGACCCGTGTTTTTCTTACATTGCTTGGACAATTGGCAGAAGTGACACCGACTGACCAGCCGACTGACATCTCTCTTCAGGCTGGGCCAATAAAAACGATACTCCATGGATTCGATAGTTTTGTCCCGCCCGAAGTTCCCAGCGAGGCCTTCGGCGTGGAGTTCCTAGACCAGAAATTCCCTAAGGGAGGTGTTCGGAATACAAAGCCTCTGAATTTTGAAGAGATAACCATCCTCTAATAGGAAATCATCCACAAGGCGCGTGCTACCTGTGGACAAGAGAGTGTATGTCTCCTTGAAGTAGGGGCACTCCAAATAGTCCCTTTTTATTTGGTCAAATCCCACGACTTCTGCTCTCATTTCAATAGTGGTCATCATACGACGACTGAGAGCATCGGCAGCCTTATTTTCAACTCCCGCTTTATGCCTAAGGGTGTATGTCTACTCCTGAAGGAACTCGACCCATCGACCATAACGTGCATTTAATTTATTTTGGAAGTTGATATAACGCAGAGCTTCGTGATCCGAGAAAATGACGAACTCTTGCAAGAGCAAGTAGTGTCGTCAATAATGAAGAGATTGGATCACAACGTAAAACTCTTTGTCATACGTGGAATAACGCTGTCGAATATCATTAAGCTTTGCACTGAAGTAAGCTACTGGGTGACCTTCCTGGGAGAGGACTCCAATTCCGACCCCCGAAGCGTCGCAGGTCACTTTGAAGACTTTGGAGAAATCAGGAAGTCTCATCACTGGGGCTTCCACCATTTTCTGCTTGATCTCATCAAAAGCTCTAGTGGCGGCAGGGGTCCAGTGGAAATTGCCCTTCTTTAAGCAATCAATATATGAGATACGATAGTGCTAAAGTTCCGAATGAATCTCCTATAGAAGGTGGCTAATCCGTGGAAGCTGCGAACTTCCTGGATGTTCTGAGGGACATGCCACTCCACAATGGCCCTCACCTTCTCGGGGTCTACGGAAACCCCTTAGGCTGACACGATGAAGCCTAGAAATATGACGCGATCTACAAGGAAGGTACATTTCTTCGGATTGGCATACAGTTGCTCCTTAAGACCTCACAAACTTGCCTTAAGTGGTCTAAGTACTGATTAATTGACTGACAATAGATAAGAATGTCGTCAAAGTAGACGACAAACTTTCCCATAAACGAACGCGAAACTT